GCACTATACAGCACTATATCAAGTGTCTAATAATAATAATAATGATGCAGCTTTGGTTGAGGACCCGGCTTAAGATGGCCAGAAGAGAAGTGGAAGAGGGAGAGTTAGCGTGTTCGGCCATTGTAATTCTGCTTCGTAGCTTTCGAAGACGTGAGGGTGCACTGCACCTCCGGTTAGTTATTTAATTAACTAAATAATTGCGTTCTCTTTGCACGTTATTCGAAGTACGCGTTTCAACGAAAGATTAGTATAATCATGAGTGATAGACCGAGTAACGGTGACTACAAGTACCAAAGGGATGAAAACTCCGTTGTAAAACCGGAGAAAGAAGGCGACGAAAAGGAACATCAAGTTGACAAGGCTGGGGAATATGTCCGGGAACTTTTGCAAGAAAAAGTTGAATTAGACTCGCAGAAGTGGCCTAACGCGACTAGGCTGATTGATCAAGGTAAATTCGATGTCCCACTGCCGACCCGCACTCACTTTCTTCTATTCTATTCGATTCTTTTTTTTTTACACATGTAATTGTTTACACTTCTTATAATGTTCATTTTGCGTTGTGTTGTTGTATCCTCGGTTATTATCTTTCGGTAAAACGGTAGAAAGTCGATTATCCGAACGAATTGAGAGGCAAACTCGTTCGGATAAAAAACAAAATTTATGAGACATGTCAAATCAAGTAGACAAGAAACAGTCTATAAATGTGAATGTTTCTTGCACAAGAAATACATGCATAGTCTAGAACATTCTTAGATACTATCAACTTGCGAATTCCTTCGAAAATGAACGTTTATAAAGTATTCAGCCTTTGTTAGATAATTTGTTAACGAAACTTCCAATTGGAACTTGATCTGTGCCTTCAATTTACGAGAACTTTGTTGAACACGAATGAAAACTAATTGCTCCGTTATCTAGAAATCCAAAAAACTCAAGCGATCGGGAAACCAATAAGAGATCCAAAATATGTAGATATTTATCGTGAGAAACCAATCCGCGTTTCGGTTAAAGTATTGGTACCCGTTCGAGAACATCCAAAGGTAATCGTGTTACACGCTTAGTCTTTTAACATTAATAAATATAAGAGAATTGTGATAAATAGTTGCAATTATGTACAGTTTAACTTCGTTGGAAAATTATTGGGCCCGAAAGGAAATTCAATGAAACGTTTGCAAGAAGAGACTATGTGCAAAATGGCCGTGTTAGGACGAGGATCTATGAAAGATCGCCAAAAGGTATTTATTAATCCTATTTTCCTTAGATGACTAATACTAAATTATTATTAGAATATTTATATATTTATTCTATGATAGGAAGAAGAATGTCGAACATCGTTAGACCCAAAATATGCTCATCTTTCGGATGATCTTCATGTTGAAATCACAGCGCTGGCACCTCCGGCCGAGGCATACGCTCGCATCGCGTTCGCTTTAGCCGAAGTCCGAAAATATTTAATTCCCGATAACAACGATAACATTCGTCAAGAGCAAATGCGAGAAATGGAAATGAGTATGGCTGATGAGCCAGCAAGTTCTGAAGATAGAAGACCTTCAGTCAGAGGTGTGCCAGGTGGCGGTGGAATTTTGAGACCCACTACAAGGCCGACGATTCCACGATCCTCGCGAGGTACTGCCCTTTTTATCAGCATTATTTATTAGTTTGAATTATTTGAGATCATATAAAATTATTATGGATTGTCTTGAATATTTCAGCACCGATACTTGCACCGCCTTCAAGTCGCGGACCGATTTCACGTCCCGTATCAGCGAAGAGCAAAGTATTTTCCATCTTAGATCGCGCAAGAGTCGCAATGGATCAGAGTTACGGGTAAGTTTCCCATTAAATACGAATAAGTACGTGTCGTGTTACATTTAAGTTTAATTGTATATTATTTATAGCTATGAGAGCGCTACTCCGGTTTCGAGTAATCGCGTTGGGTCTCATCACGATTATGATTATCACGGTTCGACGGGTAGCAGCAGTCGTTACGGAGATCGGCACTACGCTTCAGCATCAGGGTATAACTAATACTATATTTTCATGGTGTTTAATTTATTTTTGCTATACAGTGTTCATTGCATTTTCAATCCATTCGTTTATGTGTACATTAGTGCGATTGTTCATTGATTCTGTGTGACAAAGTTTCAAACTGATGATCATTGCAATTTTAGTATATTGGGTATGGGAATAAGTTTTAATCGTTTTTTATGTAGACAAAAAGCACAGTTTGGGTGTGAAAATATTAAATGATTTTATTCAAAATATTTTCCATCAGAAGCGATAACCTTCGCCCATCTTTCGGGCAATAAACGGATTCCTCGAGTGAAATGGAAAAACGATTAAAACTTATTCCCATACCTAATAAATAGCGAAAGTGATTTAGTTTGCATAGGATTATCATAATCCTATATTCGTATATTTTTATGGTTTATTAACTTCGTTTATTTATTGAACTTCATCATTGTTTCCTTTGACTTGATGCTAACATGCTCAGTCTTTTTCATTTCATTTAAATGTGTTCTTTGCGCTTTCGACAGCGCAATATTTCCTGAATTTTTTCGGCAAGCTTATTTTAACAATTTCATTGAAATTGTTACTGTGTGGCTGTTCTTTGTGGTGTGAACGTTTTCATTAAATTCGAGAAGTATGCACGAACTGAGTGATTATAAATTTAGAATAGTGGTTCTCTTTAACGTGCATTATACTTTTACACATCATTTAGAGATGATATGTATCCTTCCTCGAGGTATACAACTTACGACTACGAAGATGAAGCTGTCCCCCATTCTTCGCATGATTACTACGAGACATCCGAATATCCAGGTACTTTATTTTCCACAATTTTCATAGTTACTGTCATGTACCATAAAAATTTAACACATAATTAAACATGAATCATCATAAAAATGCGCACACGCATGTGTGATGTGTAGAGAATTAACATAAAAGCCATGGCGTCAAAGTTTTCTTGGATTAAAGCATTTTAATATATGAATGATGCATAGATAAACTTTGATTGAACTACACAATTAAATATTTCGAACCGAGCCGACCGTAATGATAAAAGAAGATGAAACTTCGTTAAAATTAGTTTAACAAGTGTTAATTCAAAGCTTTAAATAGAAATGATAATCCTAAAAACATGTTAAAAGGAGCCGATAGTTGAAGATAATTTCATTACGAAATCAAGTTAGATTTCCTCATAATTAATTAAAAGAAGTTCCTAATAAATATTATTAAACAAATACGGAATGGCTTGAAGTAACAGCGTGTGACGTTGCAATCAGTTCGCTTAAACCGTTTTGAATAACAATACATTTGCTTCGCGTAGCGTATAGCTAAGATATTTCGAGTGATTTAATCTAAAGAATGCAAATGAATCACTCAATGAAATTCGCAGAGGAATCATCGAGCCGCGCATGGAAATCGTACAAGACGACGACGACATCGGGCTCAAGCTCGCGCTACCGCAACGCCCCGTATTCACGACCTTCCAAGTAAAAATCTACCAAAGAATCACCCTAATATCTTTTTATTCGTAACAGAAAACAAATAATTCGTGTGTTTCGGTGCGGCCTAGTTTTTCTCACTGTATTGTTTCTCTTAGCCCTAAACCGTTGACGTCTAATCTTCCTAACACTCGGCGACCTACGGTGCCTGCGATGCCAAAACCTGTAAACGACCGAGATCGTTTTTGAACAATGACGGAAATCGGGGAGACTAAACACGGTAAACGATACGCAGACACTATTAAAACGTGTACCCATTTTTATCATATTCTTGTATCGTATCAACTTTACGAATCATCCTTGCATATCATAGTTGCATGTTCATATGCATCGCTACTCATGAGTCTTATGACTTAAAATAATAAAATTTAGTGATTCTGTTAAAAAATCTTGTAATAGTGGGCTAGAATGCATTAATTGAATATTTTGCATCAAATAAAAATTCAACGATTAAAGAGACAGAAAAATAATAAATTTTATTAGAACAATTCATGATTTATTATATGCATATGGTATATGTATGTATAATGATACGACGCTTGTTCATGATGATCCGCAATGATGATATGATAATAAGTGATATATAAAAGTGGATGCGCGACTTTATATTCTCCGTATTGCGGGATATGAATGTTGACTACCACTTATGATTTCTTAAAACAGAAATAGACCGCATGACAATCTTTCGTTCAACCATCTTTCGTATTATGTGGCTTTTTCTTTCAATCGAAATTTTGTTCCGTTTAAAGTTTTTCCTCTAACGCGCGTCTTTACGTTGTCTTTACATTTTCGTTTTATGTGCGACGCAACTCTTCTACTATTTGTGTAACAAAGCTGACGTGCTTTTCAGATGAATTTATCGTTCCTGCTGGATAGTCACGAGAAAATGTAACACAATGAAAATTGTAATCAGAAAGTGCTTCAACGATTCTTCGATTTTCTCGCGGTCGATATTAATGCTTGTCAAAAATTCGAGTTAATTCGTTTAACAAAATGTATCCCCTGACGTTCTTTCGAAAAAGAATATAATACCGTTCCTTTAAATCCTATTCCACTATTAAATAAAAAAAATGGTACATCAGTTCTGAAGGCTAGAGGACCAAGAGGATCAGCGGAATGAGACAAGTAAAATCATTAAATAATGAAAAAACGATTGTTAGAGCTATTTTTAATCTTTTTGGAGATCTTTATTCTAATCATTTTTATATGTAATCCTTTTGAAACTTTCTTTTCTGTTAGAAATATAATATTTTTAAAATTTTTTTTACATATACATTTCGGTTCGGAAGGTTTGTTTTGAATTAATATTGATACAATTATTGAAAAGTACATGGCTCGGACAAGAGTGTGTTATAAATTAGTAAGACAGGTCTAAAATATGAACACATATAAAATACGTTGCAAATTACATCGTAACTCGTTTAATACTAACGTGTACGATATTCACGTCCAGATGAAAAATATTTAAAAGGACATGTCGAAAATTAAAAATGGCATAAATAAATGTTAACGATCACGTGGAAAGTACACAAGCAGATTGTGTAAGTTTGTTGTGAAAGTTCGATAGCTACAACTTTATAAAAATTGAAACGAAAAACAGAACTGTAATCGTATAAGCTTTCAATATAAGTATACAAAAAATTAACATTTTCCCATTTTTAAAGTAATCTGTTCTCAACTATACGTAGTTACATGTAATTCCGATAAACTGACATAAATAATAAGTATAACAGTGTAATATGTAATAAGTCTATATGTGAACAAATTATAAATCAAAATCCTAATTATTAATTAATACAACATTATAACTTGGACATAAAGAAGTATGTTAGATTTATGATTTACCTTTTGAGTGTGTTTAAGTTTTAAATCGGATCATGAAATGTTAATACATTAAGAATCATTGTAAAACAATAAATAAACTTCATTTAACTTCCCTTAAATATTTGATCCTGTTTTAATTACATTTTAAGAAAACGTAAACCCTAAAATTATTTTTCTGATTAAATTATGAGTCAATTCGATTGGCCCTCGGCGCTGTTTAAAGTTCTATTAGCAGTAAATTGAAAATTGCATACTCTTACTTTAATCTGATTGTAGTTTCGATCCACAGCGTTTGATGCGTTTACTTCTAATTTTTTCCTGTATCCCTCTTAGGTGTATAGAAGCGTACGTGGAAAGATAGCGTGGAAACACGTTTTCATGGATTGAAATATTTTAATCCTCTGTTTCTCTGTTCAGCGGAGTTTGAAGTGCCTTGGAGTCACGTGAGTACTGTTTTAATATTACTATATAAGTTTGTTTTTAAGTTGTCTATATGATCGGATTTTACTACGAGAACGTAATAGTTAAGGAATACGATAATTCATTGGTAATTCATATTTATTTATATATTACAAGATATTTATTACGCGAATTTCTTTTTTCTTTATGACAGGAATTGGGAAAAGGGTAATTCAGAATTATAATTTCAAAAATTTACTGTGCCTTTTTGCAAATTTTTATTTGCATGAGCTCGAGTTGCGTTCTTCGTTAGTTCGATGCAAAAATTTATGAGATAGTAAGGCTTTCTTTCAGGAAAATGGGGTGCACAACTATGCACAACGTAATCAAATAATGCTACTTAACTTTTAAGCAATAATCATAATTGTTAAGATAACATTTGATTTAAATCAGGCTTCCTGAAATTGTTTAGTCAATCTCAGTAATACTTTAAGAACATCATAGATTACGACATAAATGTGTATTCAATCAATGTGCACCCAACATCTTTAGTGAAAAAAGGGATCTGATCGAAAATAAATGAATTAAAGAATATGTGTTTCATTCTTTACTTCATAAGAATGATTGAGATAAGGTATGAATGTATTTATTCTGCAGTATGAATCATTTCCTCCAACAGATCATGCAGTTGCAGCTTCTTGCGAAGATGGCAATTAAGTACTTGATGAGTGCTGAAGAAGTGTTTATTTATCTTGTGAGTGCCTGAGTCTTTTATTAACATTTAAAAGTAGTTCAAAAGTACGTAAAGATCGTATCTGGATGGAGTGTCGGTTTGTGTGATTTATGAATGCATTTCGACAAGCTGGTGGAACTTGAGAAGAATCCGGCGGGTATCATCTCTTCAACACTGGGTACGTACCATTTAAAATTGATATTAGCATGCGCTTCGAAGATTTAACATTAGTATCAGTATCAAGTAACGGGCGTTGAAGTGTTAAAATGTTTAAATTGCTTAGAAACAATATTCTTATTTATTTATCGCACACCAATATACAAAAATGAACTGTATAATCAATATCAGAATATAATATACTACGAAATTCAAATATATTTAATAAAGATATATCTGAGTATCTTACAAGATTAGAATGATGCTTCAACTCGGAACAAAAATTGTCTACAACATTCTTTGCAGTTGGCACAAAAATTCTGGTAGAAAAACGTTTTTCTACGGCCGCTCTAAGAATTATAAATAAGTATTCATTTACGGGATCTTACGTTCTAACAAGTCGCCTAAGTAGTCGTGAGTGAAAATAATGACGGAGTTTCAACGGATATTTCCGATTGTTTTATTTCATTTCTCTTTGTATTTGCCTAACTCTTTCTCACCTAAGTAAACTCACGGCGGTTTAGTCGATCCTAAAGAAGAGCTGCTGCTTTTCGTTAGTTCCTTACTTATTTCGATTTTTGATTGAATTTTGACAATATACACGGAAAAAAAATGTTGTCCTCGATGGTGCATCTTTTCTTTTAAAAAGGAAAAACGTATCCTTCACGACCACGCTAATATCTCGTCTCTATGAAAAAACATGGAATGATAATAGTAATTTTACATGTGTTCTGTCCTCCGTGTCGCTCTTGTTATCAGTTTATATCTTAGTAGTATGTTACGATTATATCACAAGAAAGATTCAAATACTCTGTACATAATATCCCGGAACGCGAGGCGTTCAGGTTTCTTAATCTTACATTTATACATACGCCTAAGATTTAATTACAAAGTTAGATATGTCTCAGGTTCACCTGATATTGTACTTCGACGCGATTTCTCGTGCTTCCGTTCAGCGTTTCCTAGCCCGATCCCTTCGTTTTCTCGCGCGAGACGATCAGTCACCTTTACGGATACCGTAGAGCTGATCCTCGTACGCGAAGCTCGCAAACCCAAAAACGCTAAAGCTCAATAATAGTCAATTTTCGTTTATTCTCGGCTATTCATTTTTTTTTTTTTTTTTTACGTTAATTGGCACATCTCAAATGGCAACTTTCGCATTGGCACGATGAAAATGATCCTTGGTTCTTTTTTCGTCTTCTCCTTTCTTGATTCGTCGACGATATAAACCAAATTCGTAGAGTTGCAACAAGGAGCAAAACGCGCAGTCAAATTGTCGCTGGCTCGAGTACGCACTCGTTCTATTTAGGAATCGCTAAGTCTGTTTTTATCGATGATTCTCGCAATTGAATATATTACTCGTTCGACTTCACGGTTCTTCACGAAGCGTGTTAGAATTATTTATTTGATCTACCCGTCGTACAATGAATTTCTGCTACAAGTCTACGAAAGATACGTCGTTAAGCGGCAAGAAACTGGATTTATCGAGCGCGACAACGAAGTTCAAGTATTGCAATGTTAAGAGATCTTTCCCAAGTGAAATCACATAATTGCTAATAGAAATACTTGGAGATGAAAATTCGCGGCGTACTTTCAACTAGCTAGTCGAGAGAATAAAATCTTTTATTACGTGGAGTTGGAATAAAGTGTTTCTTAATATGCATATGGAAAAACTATTTTATAGTAAATTCTTAGTTGACCATCACGAGAATCGTTCAGTACCGAAGTACCGAATCGTACGTAATAATCGACCGCCGTGACAGATAGTTACAAGAATAATAATCGTTCAGCTCTTTCGTATCTTTTAATTTAAATAAAACTTGATCGGCTACTAACGATTCTAAATTAATACTTTTTCTTAGCCTCGGACGGCTGTTGTACATTCTTATCCTTTTCTTGTTCGTTCGTTCGTTGTGATTGCTCGTTACAAGCTGCCGTGGAGATTTTAACCAGTGTAAATCGAGAATTTACAGCAATGAGGCCAGAATTCTTATCTTTAGAGAGCGATGCATCACTATTGTGCTGCAATATACTGTGAGTACACTCGAGCAGGGAATAACGGTTGAGCAACACATATGTATAAATAATTAAATCAAAAGAAGTAAAGAGTGCTGTGAATTGTTAGTCATGTCTGTATGCGCTCTCAATTATCGATCGATTCGTAGGTTTTAAGAATACGGAAAATCATTGAAGAGGAGATTGAAACAACTTTTTATAATCGGTCTATCGAATTTATAAGAATCGTGACGAATACTAAGTTGATTGCACGAAGTTTGAACTATCACTAAGCCTACAACATAAACGTTCAATCGATCCTGCGAATAATTGCACGCGATTGTTGATGAGAGGAGAAACGAGGGAAGACAATTTCTCGAATCGATCGATACGCTCTTCTTTCTCAATACGCTCGAAAACTGAACAGGCAGTGAGGGAACAAAGTTATCCTTACGTTTTACTCGATACTCAACCGCGAATCGTACCAACTTCTTAATTCCCTTGGTACACAACTGTGTTTTACTCAGACCAAGGGAGGATAGTGTTATGTCCCATTGCCGGTCGATTCGACTCCACCAGGTCCTCTATAAGCCCTGATCAACGAGTTCAATTCGATCATCGACTGATTGCACATTTCTTGTGACTTGTCGTCATTCATTTTTACCTAGAACACTTTCGACCAGCCAACCTCAGCGAACACGAACATCCGCAAATACGTTTACTCTCCTCCCATCTGTGCAGCTTCCTGGTTCTTTCGTTTTTTGATTATATGGAGCCGCGCGGACATGCGTGATCGTTTCAGTGGTCCACCAGAAGCTGTTCGCGATTAGCTCTGCCCGCGAAAGCTCAGTTGTACGGCCATGAGTGCCTGATTGAAGTGACCACGTTCGAGGTAGGCGGGTCCTCTGGCCGTCACTTTTTCATGTCGTTCATCAACGTACCGTCCTTGTTCTTGTTCGTGTCGAGGCTCGACTGTTGACTACTTGTCACGCCGCTCCCGTTACCCGGGTACATCTTCTCCAGGTGATTCAGGGACTCGCTTAGGAACTTCTGCAATCATTCATTTCATATACGGTTCACGTAGTTACTTCTATTATATGTTTCATTCATTCATTTATTTGTATTTAATATTAAAATTAAAAACAACGGAGTACCTGTATTGCTGTGAGAGCGGCTACGATCGCGGGACTTCCGAATCCGTGTGATATGAGAGAGAAATGTGTAAGGTGTCTCTGTATGCTCGGATCTAGGATGTGTTGCGGTCGCGTGTTGCAAAGTGGCGATCTGTCTTGATTCAGAAGATCCATCAGCTCTTTGGTGATTTGTCTGAAACAGCGAGTCGCAAATCTGAACATCTCTATCTAAATAAGACTCATATCTCTTTTAATCTGACGAATTTGTTCGATCCTTAAACGAGTCGATTATCTCTTTGTATCATGTAGAAATAAATCCTTACTTGGTGGCATGGAGCAGTTCTTTCCTCCTGTAGGAATCTTGCGGTTCACAATGCTGCCGGCTGAGGTATTCAGCAACTTGTTTCGCAGGGAATTCGGTTTCGCAAACGTAGCCGAAGTCTCTGGCAAGGTGAATGGCTTCTCCTGAAAAAAGAGACAAAACGTCTCGTTATAGGAACGCCGATTGCGCAACCGGTGTATTATGGAAATCTAGACATTTCTCGTTTACGACTTTACTGTATGGAGATTAAACCTTTCTTATCAAAACCCACCACTTTCGATTATAAATTCTACTTCCTGATTCTACCGTTCTGATTATACGCTTAGGTATTCGAGAATTTCAAATTCCTAGAATAATACATTAAACGGATTGTCCGTTTTACGACCACTTTACAAGTTGATAAAAGCATATTTAATTATTATGATGTATGCATTTATGAAAGAATTCAATGTGGAAGAATGAGAAATGTTGTACCGCAATGCTTACGTGATACAGCAAACGTGTATCTGAAATCAATTTATTCATACGTGTTTTATTCTGCATAGAAACTCGCAGTCTAATTAATATTGAGGATGTATTGGCTATACAGTCAATCCTAAAAGTTTATGTATTTTAGAAAAACGCATTTCCTATAATTAAAAAGAAATCAGACGTCGGAAGAACAATGCTAATAATACATACCTACGTGCTAAAAAGTATAGA